CTCACTGACATTGACACTGTTGCTGAGAAAATCGCGCTTTGCTGTTGCCTGTTGGATGGGCTGATGGGATTGGGTTCATGTTCTCTGGGTGGAAGTGTTTGTGCACTGTTTGCCCTGTTTTTTGATGTTTTTTTTGCATTCACTTTGACCTTTGCGGGCCCGTTTGGAAGGTGTTGTGTTTGGTTTGATTCCGGGTAACCAACAGGCGTGGTTTCATTTTCTTGGCAGGCTCTTGTTCCAGGACTGGTGTTGGGCCTTTCCTCTTGATTTGCAACTACTACCATCGTGGATCACAACTGCACGTTCGACGTTCACGTACCTTTCGGGCTCAGCTTCATAAGTTTCACCACGGACATTTTGAAGTGCATAGTTTTCCTCGCATGAATGTCCTTTCAGGCAGGGTTGAGCAGTTGCGGTCGTTTCAACTCGGCATGAGTTTCTTATAGTTTCTTGAACGTCTTGAACCTGGAAAAGGTACTGGCGGTGCAATGGCCACCTACCAATTCCTGCAAGGACTACCTAGAGAAACTCAGTAGCTTGTCGTGAGAGTTGTCACAGAGCACAGCCCCACATTACAAAGTGCTACCAAAAGCTTGTATAAGATATGAGATTCTTATGAGATGATATGAGCAAATGCTTCAATGCCATGCGCATTGACGTTGAGGCATGCCTTCGTAGACACCCGGCTGCATGGTTTTTATTTCTTGCAGCACCTTTGCACCACTTTGCACCACCTTTGCTGGCAGCATCAAGGCATGCAACATTCCACTACTCAGGGATGTAGAGTCCTGTAGAGGTTCCAGTCTTGAGCAAACTGAGTTGTTGCTTGCCACTGTGTAAGGCTTCTCTGTCACCTCGGAGTCGTTCTGACTTCTCGGAAGCTTGGGCTGCAGGTGTCAGACTGGTAAGCAGCAAACTTTTTGTGCCATGGCTGTTGGCTATCCCACCGCTGAGCGAGACATACATCTAGAGGATAGGCCCGGATAAGCTTGTGCATTCCGTGACACGGTGGTGTTCTTTCCATCCCGTTCCATGCTGCGAAACTATTCGAAACCAGCTCCATGAAGTTAACAGCTCCCTTCGGCCTTAAAGCGCGCCCCACAAAAAGGATGCAAAAGGTTACCAGCAAACAGAAGGCAATCGAAGGCAGTCACCGTGCAGTATCAATTGAAGTTCGAGGCCTACATCACTTCAATGGAGAATGATTTGGCGCAGAAGAAAGAAGCTTTTACCCTGCGAGGCCTTAGATTTCCACACAGAAGTGACAGAGGAGTGCTGAAATGCTGAAATGTGAGCTGATGCGTAAATCAACACTGTATGGCGCAATGGAATAGCTACAAGAGTTAAACCACGTGACACCGCACGCTTCAGTTCCTCAGATCTGCAGGTGATACCAGAGACTTGGAGCTGGTTGACGAGGATTGTGGTTTCTTGCTTGCAGGCAGAGCATGTGTTGCACTGCATGTGGTCAAAATTAATGTAGTGAGGATCATGTAGGGTCGCCATGATCGGCACTGTCAATGTCTGAGAATGCTGTCATGTCATAGCCATAGCGGGTTATGAATGTTTATGACAAGTATGACAAGTATTCACCGAGGCTCATTATCAGAGAGCGACATGGACTCGGACGTCGAACCAGATGCCGGGCGCCAATCCATACATTTTCCTAATTTATGGGGACGTCGACATCCTTTCTTTAATTGCTTAGATTCTTTCCCAGGCCGAGTTGCAAGAACTGCTTGCGGAGAAGGCTCCAGATTCCACCAACGCGAGAACACCAGATGTGTCATGATGTGTCCAGATATGGCATGGATCAGAATGGATTTGATGCTGCCCTTCTCTCCAGGAGGCCTTGCAGAAGAGCATAGCACAGCCCTTGTCTCAGAAAAAACCGGTGACGTTGCTGCAACAGAATGGTTGGGAGACTTCTCTCAAGCTTCTTGTGCGGAAAGCCGTGGGGGTTGCAGTTTTTGATGCAATTACAGCATATTACAGCTGCGCAGAGTCTTGTTGGCTCAAGAGGTTCGATATCCGATTGCGAACACCGCTCATTGCGAGTGCCGCCGCGAGGGTCAGGGGACTTGCGGCGGGCCTCTGAACGCCTCTTCAGAGATGAACCCCTACGGCCCCTACTCCATGTACAAAACTAGCTATGGAAGCGCAGAACTACCTGATACGCGCCGTGATTCCATCTCTCGCTTAGTGATCAGTACAGCTCAACTGGCTCTTCTTATGCTTGCCCCTTGGGCCTTGTTTGCCACCTTGAGCTGGGCTTTGATGAGCCGCCAGGTCATTCTTGTGCAGCATGGGTGACTTTCTCTAGTTCTGATATTGGATCATTCTCTCCCACGAATTGCAATTTCGTTAGGATTTCGCACTCCATGCTCCTGAGCCCTTGCAAGGTTTCAATGATCAGTGGGTAAAGATGTGCTGGTTGAATCTGACACTTTTATTCTACATCACCTGTTATACTGTAATGAGATGTTTTCATGGCGTTGGTCTAAGTGCGGGAGGTCTATTTGTATTCTTGGATCCGCGTCTTTGTGATCTGCATTTTCACGGGTCTGGTGCTAGTGCTCCTGGTAGCAGCTGCCACTTCCCGCTCACGGTGGCTTCGAAAGGGTGGCCGAATCGGGGAGGCAGATCCGCGATACTGGGCACCATTCAGCAAATGCTTTGAGGATCTGATATTGCTATATATTGCTATATATTTCTATATATATATATATTTCTATTTCTATCTATCTCTATCTATCTCTATCTATCTCTATCTATCTCTATCTATCTCTATCTCTATATCTATCTATCTATCTATCTATCTATCTATCTATCTATCTATCTATCTATCTATCTATCTATCTATCTATATATATATATGTCCGATATTTTTGAGGATCAGGATTGTTTTTCAAATATTAGAGACACTTGGCAATGGGCGGCTTGTTTTTCCCGCGTTCCGAATGGAACTCCCTTCCAGATGTACTTGGATTGGATATATTTTTAATACACACACGCACACACACACACACATATATATAGTAGCAACGTGTCTGAAGGCTATTTGCGTGCATACGCCTGGTGGGCTGGTTTGGCTGGACTCTGCTTTTTGGCTTTTGTAGCCGGGTGCATCGTGGGCACGATCATTGCCGACAGCTGCTTGCATGCAAAATATGAACTACTGTTCAAATTCAAAGACATGATGCTTCAGATTCACATGTCATGCAAGACAGGACCATGTCAGAGATTGTGACTGGGCATGGGGCCATATGCCAAGTCAGGCTACATGAAGAAGTTCTACCAAATTACCAGCTTGGACGCCTATGACAATGCCAACTGTCTTGGATTCTATTCTGCTGCGTTCTTTGAACCGTTGCAGCTGTTTTGATACAGAATCTCTTAACTTGTGGGACTCTGGAGTTGATGTTGATCATGGAGTTCTACTAAAGAGCCAAACTGATGCAAACCATTCGAAGACAGGTAACCTATTTTCTTCATGCCTTATTTCAACTTTCATTTCTAACATGTTTGAGGTGAATCCGGCCCGCAGTTTGGGGAAGGAAATGCTCGATGCTGGACGGGTGATCTTCACAAAAGGATCCCGGCTGGACTTTAACCATTCCTTCGCGCTGCTTGGCAGCAGTGGGACGTGTCAACTCTTTGGACTTTTGGACCCGTATCGTGCCGTATAGACTCGCCACATCTCGCCATGATATGAGGGTTCAAGCCTTACTCTGGAGACCAACCCCTTGTCAACATGATTGATGCTTTGAGTGGATGCAGGCACCAAAATGGCTCAACCTTTTGTGTGGTTCCCATCATCGCCGCATCTGACCAACCACTTCCTGCGACCTTTGACTTCTGGGCTGCTGGAAAAGACTGTTGCACCAACCTGGGTGAAAACTTTCATTGTGGTGCAGCAGATTCAAAAGCTGGCTCTGCGCGGGGTGGCTTGAGGCCGGGCCGCCATGAAACTATGCCGGTCTTGTGCTGCCCTAATGTTCCAAAGTGGATTCCGCATATGGTTTGAATATGTTCGAAATGATTTGAAGGTAAAAAAGGACTTTGTCTTGGCAGAAGTGCTTTGTGCAAGACTTAGGCTGCTGAGTGCTGAGGATGCGTCTCAGATGCATTTGAAGTATTTCTTTCCTTGGCCCAACGGTTTTTGGAAAACAGCTAAAGGCATTACAGTATTTGTCCAAAGTAAATATGCTTTTTGGCAGTGACCCAGTGGCCCCCGTACAAAAAGGAGAGAGAAATGTGAAAACACGTTTTGTTTCTGAAACTATTTATTACGAAAGCCAGCCGGTAGGCTTGGCTGAAGTTATTGATGCGAGCGAAGCGAGTTTAGGGGGGCAGAGCGGGAAAAATCGATGTAAACAGGGTCAGGTGGGATGGTTTTTGATCTTGTGCGTTTTCCAGGGTCATGTACCAGGTGGCAATTGGGTGACGGTGGGGTTCAACCCCCCCTGGTCCGCAGTTTTGGGGGGTCAGAGGGGAAGCTTAGGACATACGATATAGGATATTTGGACGTTAACCAGTAAAAAAACACTGTAATTTACACTGTTTTCTTGCTTTGCAATGGTCGAAACACCGCTATTTACAGGGTTTTGTGTTTACCTGGACCCTGGTGTGTAGTTTAAGGGGGTCAGGGGGCGAAGCTTAGATGTGGTCAAAATACCGTTGTTTACGAGGTTTTCTGCTTACTACTTTCTCGTAACAACTGTGGAAACTGTCGCGTGACTGTGCGAAAAACGTGGCAATACCATACCCTCAACTACTATCTCAGGACCCTGAAGTTTCATTTTCGACCCCCAACCCCCTAGTCTAAAATGAATGTTCTTAGATGTTCTTAGTAGTCTCCTTGGCATCCACTTGACCACCCTAAGCCTTTTGGGGGTTCCAAGTTTTTGGGTCTAAGATGAAGTTATCGACGCTTACATATGGAGCTATCAAGATACGACGTATGAATACGTTGAACAAGTTTGGCATTGATAGAGTATTAGATAAGAAAACTTTAAAAGCACATTTTCTAATGCGAAGCCAATGACGAAAAAACAAACAACAACAAATGGGGGTTGTTCATCGCTACGTTTCTGAGTGTTCCTTCGGAAGCTTCCATCCCCCTCCCACCGTATTTGTCAGGCTGACCTGTTAACAACATTTGTTGATGAAATACTCTATATATACTTGGCCCCCTGGCTAGCTACTGCTTTTTTTTGGAAACCATATTTTCTAGTTGAAAACCAGTGACCCCACCCTTTCTTGAAATGCTAACTTTGGATGAAACCCTGAGCTTGACGTTTGGCAAAACTATGCCAGAAAAAAAACCACAAATTTGAACTTTCTCTTCTCATGAGCTGAATCCCGGCGCTTAGGGTGCAACATACAAAAACTAAATGCCGGTGCTTGAAGTGTATGAAATTGTGCCCCCCCCCAAAAAAGGCTAAAATCAGGCTTCCAGCTCCAAGTTTTTAGCCCACACGTAGCAAATGGGATGTCCCAGGCTACAGGGGTCTAATGTGGTGTTCTTGTGGCATTGGTGGTGAAAAACTTCTTGCCATTAAAGGCCAATATCATTTCAGACCCTCCCCCTGATGTCTTTTCAACTTGGTGAGTGTCTCACCAATTTTATGCGAAGAGGAGGGTCTCTAAAACTTTATGTTAGTTGGGGGAGCTTTGAGATTTAATCTTAGAATTTAGAATCATGTTTTTTGTGTGCAAACTAGTTTAAATACTTTTGCCAAGGTTTGTAAAAATCTGAATTAATTGGGCTCATGCTGTGCCTTTATTGCGCCATATTGGGTCTATCTTGGGTTGTTTGGAAGCGATCCTTTTTCGGGTCATTTTCTTCGCGCTAAAAATTATGTATTTTTTAGCGCGAAGACAGTGGGCTGGAACGGCCTATGTTGGGTGCATGTTGGGCCAGGTTTTTGTTTGCCAGATGACTTCTGTGCAAATTATGTCCACACACTAGTCAAGACTACTTGGCAGCTCGTGAATTCACCGAATGAACACTGGCTTTGGATCCCCCCTTCTCAGGTATCTATTTATTCGAGATTTTGTAATATTATCTCATGTTTCATGTTTTTGACTCTGGTTGCTCGGTAGCCGATTGTTTATAAAGTGGTGCAGGGGAATAATGAACAAGTTCCATAACTAAGGAGTACAACTATAGACAAGCAGTTCGCTTCTCAGAAATTGCCTATCACATGGAATCCGTGCATCCGCTCTTCTTTGAGTGGACAGCGAACCCCATCAGAGACATCGGAATTCGCAGGGAGGCAGCCTTTGGACTGTACTTCGCGACGAACGTGGTGTTGCTCGGCGGTGTAGCATTTTTTTGAAAACTAGTCAAACTGCCCTTTGCACCACAATGCAAGGTGGGAGTTTTTTTTGCTTCAGGCACAGTTTGATTTACGCCCCAAATAATCGCCAGCATCGTGGATGGTGGTTGACAGATAGGATCACCAGAAGACCAGGACATTTCAATACATTTCATAGTTTCAAATCATCGCTGTGAATCCACTCCATAGTGTCCGTTTCATCGCAGAGATCGACGGGGCAGCAGTCTTGAGGGTTTCCATCCGGAACAGCACTTCTTGCGGTGGACGCATTCATGCGTGCATGCATTAATCTTTAATCATGCATTCAATAAACTAAAGTGTGCATTCAATATCATTAAATGACACAGCATGAGGCCCAGTTTTAATACGTGAAAGAACCACTGACATACAACGCATGGTTGTAGATACGCGCATGATTTCAACTTGGCAACACACAAACACGCATGTGTATATATATATATAGATATGTGCATGTGTGTTAGTTTGGACAATTTGGTGTGCAATGTATCTATTAATTAAAGCATCCAGCGGAGTTTTGCATGACAAATATGATTGGTTTGCTGTTTGTGTTGCCGCAGTTCTTTGTGCTGCCAGGTTTTTGCTGGGCATCTTCATTCTGGTCGTAATTGGTTACGTATGTTTCCTGCGAATGGCAAAGATTTAGTTTAATGGAGTGAGGTGACAGCAGGGTTCGTGCAGTGGAAAAGCGGCCAGCCGGGTCTTGCAGCCGTGTTCCACGAGACAATTGAGCGTCAGCTACGGACAAGCAATTTCAAATCTTCAAGGCATGGCATTCAGGTGTGCTTTTTGGACACTGTCCAAAGATGAACATGACAAAATATGACAAAATTGTACTCTCAGCTTGAACCACGACATTTTGTTTTTCTTGGATCCTGGAGCCGAGGCTGGACTCACTGGCCAGCTTTGCAGCAGATGTATCACGCTGGAAGGCCTGGAGAGAGATGACTGGGAGGGCTTGAAGGTGGCTGTAGGGGTGGCTGAGGGGTGGCTGCCGCTTGGACGTTTCTGTTTGTCAGAGTCTCGCTTGCGTCACCTTGAAGCCCCATGAAGCCCTGCACCGAAAGGAGATTGGAGCAGAGAAGCTGGAAGATAGCGATGAGGCGTGTGACTGGGATGCCAGTGTTTCAGAAGTTTAGATATGTCAAGATCTGATGACAGCAAGCAGCCTCAGAAACCAATCATTCAGTTGCTCAACTGCTCAATCATTCTGAATTCTGAATAATTCACAGCAAAAACTTTGAGGGAAACGGTCTCCTGCGATCTCCTGCGAATTTTAGGATGATTCCGATGCTGGAAGTGAAGTCGAAACCTCGAGGCTGGTGCAGAAGCTGCTGACGATTAGTCATTGTGGTTCTAGATGTCTTGACCTGGTGACTTTTGGTGACCTGGTGACGCCTGGTGACGCCTGGTGACCCTTGCAAATTCATCTTGCGATGGAGTTCTAGCCCCCAGATAGCAAGCCTTTTGTGCGCGGAAGCAAGCTGTTTCGAGGTGTTCGAGCCCTCAGATGACTTTAAGCCTGATCTCTCAGTTGCAAACGTCAAGGAAGCAGGCATTGACTCAGAGAGAGAAAACGTAGGGATCTTGCACAGCTTTGGCACAACACAGTAGGAAATCGTAGGAACATGTTTGGTATGGTCAGGATCCTCTGGATTTCTTTGAGGCGCCCTGATGGACACCCTGCGTGATGCCACGCCGGAGGAAGGGGCTTGGTTTGAGTGCAGTGCAGTGGCCCAGTGGTCGTACTTTATATATATATATCTAATTATTCCTATATATTCCTCATTATCCAAGGAAAGTGGCAACAGAATGTAACAGATAGACTGGCGGCCGAATGGTTTCCAGCTTCCAACTTGCATAGCGAGAGACTGCCAGTGGCAGGAGCGGCGCCTGCGGATTGCCCAGATTTCCCAGGAGAACTTCATGGAACTCATCGGCCACCTTCCCACCGAGGAAGCAACTGCCTGCAAGATCCTGCAAGCATGCGAGATGTGGTTTCAACATGTTTCAACATGCTTCATGTTTCAAAATCTTTGTCTCACACTGCTATCATTGATTCATTTCAATTTATCCTTTTATGTGGATGCTACACAGTGTCCATTCGATGCAGTCGGTATGCTGTTGGGTGCTCGTCTTTTGGACCCGTCATCCTTGTCCAGGAAGACAGTGTAGAGCTGGACTCTGCTGCTGAGGCAGGGCCGCAACCCAACCGCCCAACCGAAACATCTTGTCACCTCCTTGTACCAAGCCATATAAAGCGATAGGCCCCCCCGAAAACGAAAACTTGTAATTTACTTGTAATTAATTAACCATAATCTCAGAATGCATTAAACTTGGTGTGAACCAAGCAAATATATTGTTGTGTACCTTCACGCAAAGGGCAAAATTGATGAAGAAAATTAAACCTGTAGTGCGCGTGTTTCTTGCAGTTGCCATACCATTTGTTGTGCAAGGTTATTGAAGCGTTGCTTTCTGCAGCGAGTTTGCTTTTTTCCCAGGCCCCAAAGCAGTAAACTAAAATAAATGCAATTGAATTCTGAATTAAACCAAAAATATTTTAAAATCCAATTCTGAAATCCGTTATTTTCTATTTGTCCAATTTGTCCTCTCTTCTTCCTTCGTTTTCTTCGTTGTTCCTTCCTTCCTTCCTTCCTTCCTTCCTTTTTCCTTCTCTTTTTTTCAGTTTTCCTGTATGTCCGACATTCTTCTTTCTTTTCCTTTCTTGATCATGAAGGTGTTCCAACAAAAGATAATCTTAGCGATAATCTAGTGGCTTAGCGATAACGTTTTGTTGAAAAAGGGACCCCGGACGAGGGATAGACTCATTTGATCCCATTAGCATCCTTTTCCAAAATACGAGACAAGCAAAAAGAAAAGGAAATGAAAGATTCTTGCAAAAAAGCAAAGAAAAGCTGATACAGGAAATCTTTGATGAAGCTGATTTTGGAAATCTTGATAAAGAGCAATTTCGCTGCATTTGTGTATTACTTATTTAGTTGATTTGAACAAAACACCGTAAAGCGATAGGGCCCCCCTAAAGGGAAAACCTATATTTTTTCACCAGGCGTAATTGATTTTGACGGCGGTCCATATGGATGTCAAGATGGCTTTAACAATGCGAGGTAGATATCTTATATGGAGAGCCTATCTCCAGTGACACTGACACTGCAGGTCAGTGAGGACGAGGACCTGGAAGGCTGGATGCACTGTGAACCGGGGCTAGGGAGGCAAGGTGCAAGTTATACTACATTGCCATATAAATGCAATACAAGTATAGGAGCATACAAACAAATACATACGTACATAGACTATGACATAGATATCAGTGACTGATAATTGACTGGCTATTGGCCATGCCAGTTTGTAGCATTTGGCACCTGGTAGCTATAGGCACGCACGTTGCAATTTCTGGATGCCTTGATGCTAGGAGCTGAGAGCCTTCGGGAAGTTAGCACTGAGGGAACCAGCCATCCGAGCCTGCAACCAAGAGCATAGGCACTTGTGAGGGTGAGCACTGTGAGCAGTCCGGGTCAATTTCAACCCAAAGCAATTTTTGAATTGCAGACATACTCATTTCGGTCCCTCCATCTCCGGGGAAAGTGTTAGTAGTAAAAGGTGCAAGAGGTGGAGAGGTCCCTTTGAAAGAAAGCCAACTTTTGCTCGCAGCTTCCAAACACCAAGGCCAGCCAAGTGCCAGGCTCCAGGCCTGAACAGAAACCAGATTTGTTGCAACATGCGCAGTTCCCACACTTGTTTTACATATATACTTACTTGGTGTCACTAGATTGTAGCAGGGTTTAAATTTCGCGAGCATTTTGCGAACATTTAGGGGACATCTTCAAGAAGTTCCCTCAACAGGAAGAAAAAACATGAAAAAACCGTGCACGGTGCATAGCATTGCGATGCCGCCCCAGGTTGGTGCTGACGCCTCAGACTTTCCCCAGGACATGACGATCTGTCTACAAGAGCAGCGGGAGAAGCGGCGTCGGGTTGGCCCAGGATGCCCAGGGAACAGCTGAAGGGCTCCCCTCATCGAAAAAACCGAGTGGCTTAGAACTTTTGCCATGTCTTGATTGTCTTGCCTGCGTGAAGCCAAGTTAGACATTAAGATGTGAAACATGTCAAACGGGGCCAGATTCAATCAGCAGACATATACATGCACAGCATAGACATCGCATAAAGATGCATAAAGAACAAAGAAGTCGAGATGTTTCCTTGCTGTTTTGATTCTTTTCGGGGATCGGGATTGGTGGTAAAACCACATTGTCAGAATTCCGCTTGAGTTTTTTTCCATGTAAGAAGAGAAGATGGATGGGGCTGAGCCGGCTGAGCCCTTCGGACGGCGTTGTGTCCGTTGTGGTTTTGTTCAGGGAATACGCAGCCTTTGGGGCGACTGCAGCTGGAGGGCAGTGTCGTGCCCTCAGCGCGAAGTCTAGGGAAGCTACTTTTCCAGAGCAGTCGATTTCTTCACTGTTTGTATTGTTTGTCTTCAGTTGGAATGCATTCCATGTCCATTCCTTCTTTGGGCCTTAGGCCGCGCAAGACTCCAACTTGCTACAGCGTTTGCCTCCGAGGCAGAGTCTGCATGTATTGCTGACAGTAGTTGCAGTCTGTGCGCATCATGGGCATGCTCATGGCTGGCATGAACCAATGAACGCTTTGCCATGCGCAGGAATGTGAACATATTCGGATTGGCTTGAACCTGTCACCAGCCATGTTCATATCAACTCGGAACCTCAAATGCCCCGAGCGTTTTGGCTCAAGACCATCGAGTACGCCAAAGGCGATGGATTCGATGGCGGCTACACAGCCAGCCATGGGGCCCAAAGGGCCCAAAGCAGCTTGGTTGCTGATGGTTGCTGAGTGTTTTACTGCTGCTTTCCTGAGGTAAAGTGCTTTGCCCACAGACTTGGCTGACTTTGCACACTCAACTTCATCGTGGTAGTATTACGGTGGAGTATGTGTAATACGTTGTACAAATTGCTGGCACTTAGAATTGCATGGTCATTCTCAACCAAGACCCGTTGAATCCCGTTGACCTTAAGGCAGACACTGCTATTCGTCGTCGCAGTGTGGCGCTGGGCTCCGACCCAGCAATGAAAGAGATGGTGCACTTTGTCGGGAGCCATGAGCACGACAGCCGGCTCAAGGACAAACATTTCTTCTCGAACAAACGAAGATGTGGGACATAGCGGGACAATTTGATGCTTTCACCTTGATTCTGCATCACATTGAATCTCAATGAAAGCTGACGACGCCAAAACTCTTGGTCTGATTTCAACACAATTCAAGACACACTTGTCACATTTTTTCAAAGATATTTGCCGCCTCAGCTTCTTCCAGGAAGCTGCAAACATCCGGAGCACCATTTTGAAAGACTTACCCGACAACTTCAAGCAAGAGGTCGAGATTTTACGCCAAGCTGAAGCCTTCGAGGTAGGGTGCTTGTGCCGTGCGAAGCTGACATTTTGTAGGGATATGCGTGATTTGTACTGAGTTGTACAAATAGTTCATCATAATCATGTGCATATATGATTATAGAACCCCACACACAGATACACACACACAGATATATATATATATATATTGCCACGTTAGAATGTTCAATCAATGCCTTAGTGCCATAGTGCCAAGCGCACCAGGACAACCGTCCACTTCCTGTCACGAGCACGGGATTGCTTGATGGGCCCTCGGTGGATGCACGGCTGGCCTGGCGCCAAGAGATGGACCGCCAGGTGAAAAGACTCTTGCAGGACAGGCGAGAAAGGTCCAGCGTCCAGCAAGCCTCCGGCACGAGTATCACAATGAGAAAAAAACACCTGGTTAAGCTCTCAAAAGACTAAAGAATGTGCATGGATCGGTGTCTGTGCATATATATATATATATACACATACACACACAGATATATATATATATATAAGATCATGTTGGATAATCAAGTCATTTAAGAGTTGAAAGTTGAACGCTTGGGTCCTAATCTGAATTTGTGGACTGTTGTTGGTTCGTGATGCCTGGCCACAGCCAGGACACCAATTTTGCCCTTGATGACCGGATTGATGAAGAGGTGAAACACACGCTGCGGGTGAACCACGCAGATCGGATGTACGACTGGTATGGAAAGCATGGGATGAAACAAGCTCGCAAGGAGCGAGTGGCTCCAGCACACCTTCGCTTCAATCATGAAGATCCAGTGATGCCTGGCTCCCTGCGTCGACCCAGTCAAGTGGCACCCGCCCTGTTGGCCCCACCAGCAACCATCGAGGTGCGACGGGATGATTTCCCAAGCCCCAAGGCTGAGGATACCCGGCCACCAAGTCGCCCCATCTCGACACCCAAGACGCTGCTGGGGACTGCTGGCCGCTCATTTGTCAAGCCGATGTCTCCAAAGCATTCGGCGCGGGCACGTACACCACACAAGCCAAAGACGCCGGACATGAACAAAACACGCACCGGCCTCTGGCGAATTTGATATGCGAGCCCCAAGGCTCTGTTTTTTTTGCTGCCTCGAAGAGGTACCACACGTGTACTGAATCCCAATTATATCAGAAAAAGTGCTTTGGGGCCGAACTTGCGTCGCTCGCAATGTGTGCTTCACGTGTGGCAACTGACAGCTCATTGGAGATCAGCTCTTTATGCAGTGCTTCCAAAAGACAGGAGCCGCGCGCGATCTGCCGCGGCGGATTTGACGTCTGCATGGGAGAAATACCTTGGACGCTTCACTTGCGGTGATCAAGGAGAGTCCTTTTTTAGACAAACTTGACTCAGCTTTCCAGTTGATAGAATTATTCTCCTTACTAGCCATCTCCAAGCCCACTTTCAACTCTCACTATTGATCTATACAAGTATGTACGTATATTGTGTGTATATATATATATATATACATACACACACACATATATATATATATATGTTGGTCGCAGTTTTATTGTCGCTGTTTACTCGCATTCTTACAGCTCCAAGTTCCGTTGGTATGGAAGGACCCAAGCTCAAAGACTCCGGTGCAGACGGAGAGGCCATGGAAAGGGTGGTGGCTGAAGTGAGCTTGTCTTTCATACTTCGTCATGGAATACCATCGCTCTATTACACACACATATATATATATAGATGTGATACATGCGCACACAGATGTGTGTGTGTGTGGATCATCTGAAAAGATGTAAAACTTCTAAGCGATGGTTTGGCTGTTTCGTTTCTACTGACTCGTTTTTTCAATCATGAACTGGATTTTCCAATTCAGCAGGGGGCCGCTGGGGAACATTGCAGTCAGCGGCCAACGAAGACGCTGCAATGTTCCTGTGAAAACGTACCTGCAATTTTCCAGTTTTTCGTCAATGGCAACCGGCTAAGCCAAGAACCGGCATGTCGTTTTTCCAACAGTTTTCAAACCACCGTACGGTTTTTGCAATCTGACTGAGCTGCATCAGAACAAGTAAATCCTTCGAGCAAGGACGTAGAAAGATTTCCTCGCACAGTTTCTCACTTCCAATCATCAAACCATTCCTGTCAGGTTTAACTGAAGTGTTTTTGCACGTGCGATGCATTCCACATCAGTAATTCGATAAGATGTTTCTGAGCAAGTGTGTCACTCATGCCAATATCCGTCACGGTGGTATGAGCCCTTCGGGGAAAGCCTTTCTAGGCTAACAAAATCTAACAATTGACGGTAAAACGATGTCTGAATTTACACTTTTGAATTAGTAATTCGTTTAAGTAAAGTGAACAGCCGGCCTTTTTTCCTTGTCTCACCCGTCGATGTCGTTGTGTTGAACCGCTGGCCGCTGTGCTTGGCCTCACCCTTTTCCTTTTCTCATTTGTCGATGTCGATGTGTTGAACAGCTGGCCGCTGTTCCTGGCCTCACCATTTTCATTGGACAGCCAATGCATAGTCTTAAGCTGCGACAACAACCTTCCTGTTGTTTCAAGAGACAGCCACTCCGCAGACATTTACACATGATCAGGTAACAGGACATGCTTTCAAGGTGTGGTATCTTTCTTTTCTTTTGGTTACTTTGGTGAGGTTCAATTGTGCACGTAATTCAGGGGTTGAACACGTAAGCCGTCTACAGGGTTGTGACTTGAATGCCGAGGGCCTTAGAGCCTTATCACAAATCTTGCATGCAATGTGGATGCATCTTTTCATTAACTAGTTCCCCATGGGTCCCTTATTTCATGTGTTCCTGCGTTCTCCTCTCTCCAGGTAGGTTGGGGTCTGCGCGTGCTGAGGTAGGCGTAGGTTCGCTGTGGTAGGTTGGTTCAGGCGCGTTCGTCCTTCCCCCGCCTCCGCTGGTCTTTTTCCGTTTCCGTCTGCCTCCGCTTTTCTTTTTCCTTGCCTTTTCAGGGTTTGCCCGTGGTGGGCCAGGTTTCCTTGTGTTGGTGTTTTCTCTTTCCCTCTGCGTTGCGTTCCCCTCTTCGCGTCCTGGTTAAGTAACTTTCATCTCATTTTCATCTTCACCTCATCTTCATTTCCTTTCATTTTCATTTTCATTTCACTGTCCGGACCTTAATTTTTCACCCTCCTGCGGGAGGGTGTGTGTGTGGATCATCTGAAAAGATGTAAAACTTCTAAGCGATGGTTTGGCTGTTTCGTTTCTACTGACTCGTTTTTTCAATCATGAACTGGATTTTCCAATTCAGCAGGGGGCCGCTGGGGAACATTGCAGTCAGCGGCCAACGAAGACGCTGCAATGTTCCTGTGAAAACGTACCTGCAATTTTCCAGTTTTTCGTCAATGGCAACCGGCTAAGCCAAGAACCGGCATGTCGTTTTTCCAACAGTTTTCAAACTACTGTACGGTTTTCGCAATCTGACTGAGCTGCATCAGAACAAGTAAATCCTTCGAGCAAGGACGTAGAAAGATTTCCTCGCACAGTTTCTCACTTCCAATCATCAAACCATTCCTGTCAGGTTTAACTGAAGTGTTTTTGCACGTGCGATGCATTCCACATCAGTAATTCGATAAGATGTTTCTGAGCAAGTGTGTGTGCAATATATATATATTATACATATGGATGGATGGAGGGATAGATGGATGGATAGATAGAATTACGCATGTGTACACCACTGTGAATGATAATCAACCATTGCAATCAATTCATTTGAGTGTCATTGTGTTCACAAGACTGGCAGTTTTGCTCAGGCCATTGGCGCGTGGTTAGGTGGTGCGATATCACATGCGATGTGTGGGGCGCAAGTTCTGGAGTCGATGGTTCGAGGCTAGCCGGGCCACAGCGCATGGGTGGGAATGATCAAAGGGATTGCAGACGTGAGACTCACATGAAAGGATGGTTGCGAACTGCACCAAAAAATAATGAAACACATAGAATCCAGTCCTGCTCGCTCCAGTTGTCAAAAAAACGATTTGACACACTGAACTTTCTGACTCTCGTTGTTCTTCTCATCAAAAACATTGAAGCCGGTGACCAACACGCATCCCAAATCGCATCAATACTGCTGACAACGAGACATGCTTGTGGTTCATGATTGTGCATGTTCCGCCGCCGTTCGCACCTCAATTTGTAGCGAACAAATGTCGCTAGAGATACCGCCGGAGAAGGCCACCACTGTATCCAATTTGAAATCAGGAATTGCTAGTAATCGTCCAGGATGGGTGTTTTGGATCTTGATCCTTTTGGCATTTCTTGGCTTTGGTCAGCATTGTCTGGGTTCATTTGATGGGCGTGGTTCGGTAAAGAAGAGTGAAGCTGCAAGCTGTGCTGTATCCGTCGGATTGCTTGCTTCTAGGATCTTATCTTGCTGGATTTTGTATGGTGAGGTATCACTTTTTTTTTCTCAGTTGCCATTTGTGCGTCAGAAGCGGTCTTGGTCTTGCAGTCCGGGTGCCCCCGAAATTGTTGATTGTTCATGATTGTTCATGGTATGGTCCCTCAGTCGTTCCTTCGTTTGGCGCTTAGGCTTAATTATTGTGTTTGTATGGTTTTGCAGTTGCATATCTATATACATATACATATACATATACATATACATATACATATACATATACATATACATACATAAATGAATACATACATACATACATAAATAAAAAAATATATATGTATGGTATATATATATATATTTATATCTGCATATATAGAGAGAAAGTGACTAAGAGTGGCACTTCTGCTATAAATGTGCAAATCAGAGACATGAACAGCCTGTATACATCTTTGAAAACTTGGGTTATAATGACTGCATTGCTGACATTGTTTGAATGACATTCGGAGTGACTTTCCTCAGGGCATGGATGACGTTCGGGGCCGCCTGGATGAACCACTCCTTTCTCCAGATGCCTCTCCAGGCTTCGTCAAGGTGGGGTCAGGATTCTGCATGGTTCTGGAGGATCGAGCGGCAAAACGTTAGAGAACTTCGGAGTTACGGACGGTGGTCACGCTTAGCATTCCCACCATATGTCAACCCCATCCCCATGCATCAACATCATCATGTCAACCACCCATGATCAAGTAGTTTGGAAGTGTAAGAGTTCGGAAGCGTGTGAATCCAAAGGTGAAACCGCTCACGGGCGCGAAACCTTGCGTTTTTGGCGTAATGTTGCTCCTAGGGTCGCCGAAGTAGGGTCCCTGTTTCCGCGGGTACGGGAACTATGTTGAAAAATGGACATGCTCCGAGCACTTTTGGAAGACGAGGTCGGCAAAATGCGCACGAGACGAGATTTGCATTTCAAACTGTTGAAAAACGGAAGGGATCGGAGCGCTCTTGGTAAGTTGGCAAAATGTGCTCGATACTGTAGCCAGAGCTCGATTTGCATTTCAAAGAATATGCTTTGGTGTCAAAATCGCAAAAAAAGGAAGGGATCGGAGCACTTTTGGAAGATGAAGTCGGAAAAGTGCATTGACTCATCGATTCATTGATTCATTGGTTCTTTGATCCATTGGTGCACTGATTCATCAGTTCATTGTTTCAATGCTTCATTGATTCAATGTTTCATCGATTCATTCATTCGTTGATTAATTGATTCATTGGTTCATCCGTTCATTGAATCAGTGTATCACCGATTCGCTGTATCATCGGCCCATTCATCGTCGATTTACTGATTCACTGATTCATTGATTCCTTGGTTCTATAATTCACTCATTCGGTGATTCGTTGAATCATCGGTCCATGGATTGATGCACTGATTCACTGAATCATTGATTCTTTGGCTCATTGGTTCATCGACTCATGAATTCCCTCATTCATTGATTCATTGATTCGTTGGTTCGTTCAATTAGCTGTGCATGGATTATGTCATGCCATTTCGTTGGCATCTCAACCGCCATTTGCTCATTCGTTGTTGCGCCTCACAACTTCAACGCTTCATTGCTTCTGCATGTCAAAAACTTTCCTATAGGCCATTGATTTCTTATTGCTGGTTTCATTTTTTCGAAATTTCCGCCCGGCATGGGCCGGGCACTACCTGGTAGTGAATGGTAGTGAGTGCATTTGCATTGATATCCCATGTGTAGTTTCCATTTTGTCCGGAAGAGGCAGTCTTGAAACGAGGGTTTTGGGCCAAGAGCTTGCCAGATAATGTCAGATATATTCAGATATGATGTATTGTTCACTTTTGTCCCAGCTTTGTGTTCGCGACTGGCACCGGGAAAGAAATACGTCAGAGACCACGCCTTTCACAACCAGCATGAGACAACAAGAAATGATGGGATTGGGATAGTGACATCTACTGGGTAAACTACAATCGGGGTGGCACACGATCAAAACCACAAGATCCAAAGGCAAAACTGAGCAACCGAAATTAGGCAATCAAACTGCGACACATCCGGACTTTCCAAAGTGTGATGACGGCATGTTTTGATTTGGCATGTTTCGAATTTCCGGTGGAGCTGTCTGCTGGCAGCGGAATGGTAGGCAAAAAAAATCCTTTTCAAACTCAACGGCCTTTGTTGAAGTATGTTTTTCCCCTTTTTTCGCCCACAATTTTAATTACACTCATCACAGGCATATTCTTGCTTTCAGCAACCTCAAGAATTGCATACCTCGACATTCCCTGTACACATGCAGTACATCTATCTTCATACATGCATGCACACACACACACATGCGCACACACACACACATATACACAAATGCGCACACACACACATACACACATCTTCACTTTGATGCCACAGGTTCCAATGTATATAATGATATGTATATACAGTAATGTGTACACTCTCTCCGTGTATATATATATATTTATAGATGTGCGTGTGTATGTATAAATGTTGGGGATGGGTTGTATTATATAGTATTGGTGTTGCCAAGCTTCGCAATGGTCAGGCGTCCGCCATGCATCTGCCTCCTGCAACCTGGCAAATTGTGGGGGCAGAACTGGCCGGAAATACTGAAACTATCTGAAATTCTGAAACAAATCTGCAACAAGGATCAGGCAAGGGTCATAGCATATCATAGGATTCATTCGTTGCTTGGAAGTGATATAATGTCAATGTGGTCTCTGTATGCTTGGACCGAGGGTCAACTCGGTGGTTTATCCGCCTTACTGAGAAGTGGGCTGTGTGCCCGGCTAAATCCAACGCAAGCAGTGTCAGTATATTGGCTCTGTAACATGGTATAATCAGGGACCATTCAGTTCATCGCATAGGGCGGCGAACCACTAAATGAATAAACGCACATAACCTGTGGGCTCGAAGTACAACGGACAGCCTCGATAATGGTCGAATCTTTCATGTTTCATGTTGTCATGGCCATGGTGCGCTTAGTGCTTCCCTTGGCATCTGCCATACTGTTTCTGTGCGGTGCCTGCATTGGCCATAGCCTGGATTCAGGTTTGGTAGGCACCTGCAATGGAAGCACATCTTTGCTCCAAATTTCCTCCGTGGCCCCGGTGGATCCGGAATATAGGATGTTTGCATCAATGAATGAGTGGCGCAGTACACGAGATTTGGCTTAGACCTGATGCTGTACTTGAATCTTCCGTTGGCTCACAGCTCGCTCCTCTTGTTAAGTTGAAGGTACTTGTCATAGCTCCTCGCACCGACTTGAATGTAGATTTGTTCCATGCAATTTCAACAGCTGATGTTGCGGCGGTGCTCGATGCTTTGCTTCAAGGGCAATGCCCGAATTTCAATGAAGCGGGTGTTTGCCCTCTTTACGCCAGTCTTCTTGTAATGCGTCCTCCCGCATCTTCCCAAGCAGCGCAGATTGTTGATGTACTCTGCCAAGCCATGGCAGATGTGGATTGCCGCTTGGATTTCGGCGGCTCGCCGATGCATTTAGCTTGCAGGCACGAGGCGGCTGCAAGCTTGCTGAAAGCTTCGGCAGATGTGAATGCAAACGACAATGAGAATGACACACTGCTCCACGTTGCTGCAGTTGCTGGGAATCTCGCAAATTTTCAGCGCCGTGCCAGTGTTTGGAATGAACGAAGGTTACATCGCTTTGCTGGCTGAAGGACAGGATGACATTTGGCATCCTGAAACGTATCCATGCTGGGAAACATTGCAGAAAACGGTGGATGCGGAAGAACTTTTGGTATGTCCCTGGCCTCCTGAGGATCGGCATGAAAAAACCATTGACATTTCTTTGGACCCTCATGGACAGGTTGTTGCTACTGTGGTGGTGTCACATGAGCCAGAATTGTTAGGGCAGTACCACATGATGGCATGTGTCCGGGACATTTTCTTTAATCCAGCTCCGAAGCGTGATAAACAAGGCCTTTACAGTGGTCCTTTCAAACTATGGGTCGAATGGATGGAATGGTCTTCGATGCGCGGTTTGGATCATTTCCTGCTTTACAGCTTTGAAGGTACTGATTTGGCTGCAAGGAAGGTCATGCAGCCCTATGTGGATGCCGGCCTTGCAACCAGGGTCTACTTCAACTTTTTCCTAGAATCCGAGCTCATTCGCCAAGGGTATGTGGCGAATGATTGCTTGTTTCGGGCCAAGAACCACGCAAAATGGTTAGCTACATGTGTTGACGTGGATGAATATATTGCGTTCCCAGGTCCGGTGAAGTGTTTCGATTGGGATGAAGTCGTGAAGCTGGAAGGAATTCAACAGGAGCAGGTTGCCAGTCTTTCCATTCCCAGGATTCGTTTTGCGAGACCCCGTCCCAAGGCCCCCCAAGGCCTTGGAAATTTCATATGTGCTGCGGGAACCAGAAATGACTAGGACTAGGAAACATCCCAAACAAGTGGTCTTAGTTGAGAATTTGTATCGGACATCAGTTCACAACCTTACACATTTTCGAAACGGGACTTCAATCATTGAAGTGAATCCAGACTATGCCGTCATCCACCACTACAGAATTCCTGAAGAAGAGATCAAAGTCAACTACGCTGATTATGATTTTTATTATGTGAAAGCGAACATAATTGATCATTCTCTCCAGCAGGATGTGCCTTTTTTGACAGAAGCAATCCGCCGACGGTTCCAAATCCAGGATGGGATGTGCACAATTTCTTGGAACACCTGGTGCAAGAACGTCCGCCAGCAAGTGGCGATGCAGCTGCCATTCATGAGTTGCCGCAGAGAATTTGACAGAATGCAGCCGCGCGCAGCATGAACAAAATCTGGGCTCCGAGCTAACGTTGACTGAGCGTGAACCAAGCGTGGTGACCTTGTGCACATCTCCACGGTCGAAGCTGCCTGCCTCTAAGGCACAGCAAGCATCAACAGAGGCTGGGATCTTTGCCAAAGTTGGTCTTGAGGACTAGCTTAGCCTTTGAAATTCTCTGACACATCATGAATAGATTTAATAGGGAATTAATTGGGCTGCATTCAGAGCGGTGGCACACGCTTGAGTTTATGTTTCTTTGTTGGTCGTCACAAGACACACAAAACCCAGGTGCTTGCGAAGCTAGCATGCACTTGCTTTGTCCTCAGTTGGACACCGGACTCATCCCGACATCTCCTGACAGCAGAGGAGTTACTGTACCCTCTGAAAGCCGAGGTGGTGGTCGCCTTCTTGATGAGATTCATGGCCCTGAAAGCCATGCGGTCTTTGATGTCACATTGGAGCATGCCACGCGCCCCGAGCTGCATCCGAGAAAAGATCCATAGGGAAAGATGTTGTAGATTGAGCATGGCGAATGATATTCAATGGGCAATAGCGATAACGTGAGTGTGTGTGTGACGTTATTCGAGAGCAGAGGTAGAAACTGTGGCCGAGGCGTCTCTACGAGGCATGCACCGAAGACGATCAGAGAGCCTTGGCTTTCATATCGTTGAGGAGTTGAGGACCGCTAAAGCAGTCGTTGGAAGTGTAGCTTTGTAGGTTGGCCGCTGGCAACACACCTGATGACATGCTCCACTGTTCAAGCTTTGAGAATTGATTGGCCAGTGGCACTAGCTGCAAGCAATAGCCAGATCTGAGGAAGACATGCCTGTAGCAGTGCCTTGTCTTTTGAATGGCTCAGCTACTTTTTCCCGCCATCCACGGATGTTTTCTCAGCTCACGGGTGGATGAGAGCTGAGGTACCACTCTCGGGGAGCAGCGTGCTGATTCTAAACAGCGCGCTGACTCCAAGTCGCCAAAAATGCGAAAAGGGGGAAGCTGCGACCTCCCAACAAAGAAGGAGGAAGGTGCCGTGGCAAAATAGATGACAAGAGTCAAGAGTGAAATGAAACCAAATGAGATGAAAGAGGGATGAAGGGAGCTAGGCATGGCACGGGATTTTGGCACAATCATCGGGTATCTGGATTCAGGGGAATGTTTGCTTCTGTGACTGAACCTATATAGTCTATTCCACTTCCATGAACGAAAACCCCTGTCAAATGGTTGCGGTGTGTAATGAGGTGAAGGCATGGACGCGCGGGCACTGAAAAGTGCTCTCGAGTCAGAAGGTGCGACAGATTTCCCGAATTCTCCAGCTCATGCGATGATAAGACGTACTGAAATAGATAGTTATCGTTATAATACACATACACCTACACATACATATGCATTTGTACATGCATATGTGTATATATTTATATGCACATATACATGCACATCCAATCCCCCTGCCAATTTCCTCTATAAAATCGCGGTACCCAGGTACCGGTTAAGAGCTAATTTTGATTTGGATTTATTTGGCTATTTTTCTGTGACATAGCCTGTGCAGGTTGGGAACCCATTTTATAGAGAGGGTATCAGGGTATCTTGTGTTCAGTTTTTTTTTTGGGGGGGGAGGCTCATCTTGTGACAATTTTTTGCTTTTTCGATTTTATAGAGGGAGAATCTGGCATGATGATGATGCCCATTTGAAATTATGTACTATTTGATAATTTCTCGATTTTATAGAGCATGAGCTGTGGTCATCAATGAACAATTCAACGCACGTTCCTGCATCTGCATTTTTGGAGGCCCATGGGGAAAGGGTCTGAATATGCGCGATGCAAGAATCATACGATTTCCTCACTAAAATGGTGATACCCAGAGGTTGTTTAAAATGACAATTTAATGTAGCTAAGTTTAAGGTCTGTGCACAAAAGTGTCCAAACAATTACAAAAAATATGATTCTGATTTTATGGAAGGCCATCCGTAAGCCATTTGTAACCTAACATGTGGCTTATGGTCAATTCAGGTGGACTCAGGTACCAGACCTGTATAGAGAGGCTATTTTTGTGGCAATCTTCTGATTTGTGGGCCCACTGATCCTGATTTTATAGAGGGAGGGTTTTTGAGATGAATTTGGTGTCGTAACCGATCGCCGCATCCCGTGAACATTTTTACCAAGGCACAAGGGGAATGGGTCTGATTGGCTGCTGATATAGCAGCTCACTAATGTGACTGTTATTAACTGAGGTTTCAGGCAGCAGTGGATCCATGTCTTAGAGATAGTGAGATAGATAAATATAGTCGATAGAGAGAGATAGACAGATGGATAGATAGAGGGGGCTTCAGACTGGTTTCAGATTCTTTCAAATAATATATACCTTTTCGGAGCCCTTCCCACAAAACAGAGTTTCAAAGTTGCTCATTGTTCTTGTTTTTTGAAGGTTGTGCCTTTGGACCCATTGTCTCTAGAACATCAAAAAGTTCCAAAAGCTGGGCTCTGCCCACATGTTTCCCGCTTCCCTGCCCTCTAAACTCCAAAATTGGGTCACTACATGCCTGAATCTTTCCACTACTAAAAGGGCGAACACGTGCTGCATACCATCCCCTGTTGAGGAGAGAATTCATGCAAAAAATTGAAGTCGTGCCTGGGATTTGTAGTCCGCGAGCACGCGCTGCATCTTGTAGCGGCTTTTCATTTTTCTACCTTAGCACTTGAAAATCGGAAATGCATTTTGTAGTGATTTATGTTGGGATGCTTTGGGTCATACAGGAACCCCTATAGCCCTCTTTTGCCAGTCATGCTGTGTCACATTAACATATGGCTTGGACCCTCAGACCATTTTTGACTCTTGACTCACGATGATTTCGTAGTAAGGTGAGCCCCAAAAAAATCGGGAAAAATCAATCAATGTAGAGACTTTAAGAAAAAAATGGGACGAGATTTGGTGTCAAAACCAATCAATTGAATTTGAAGTTGTGCGCCTAGATCGTTTTCGTTGCCCCATAGCTCTGACGATTGCAGTTCAAAATCTCTGCGCCGTGCTTTTGTCACACCTTTTTTGGCGATTACATGCGATTACCAATCATCATCTAAATGTATCCCATTCTACTAGGTTCCTGCTCTTTTTGTCCAATAGTCAAGTTTCACCCAAGTTCGAAGAATCCATGCTCAGAGTTCCTTTCGCCCACCAAGCACTCGATTCTTTTTATGTACTGTAATGCATGCAATGCGGGTATTGTATGGGATTGTAATTGTAATTGTGATAGTGGTTGCAATTGTAATTGTGATTGTGATATACTGTGATTGTAATTGTATTGTATTGTACGGGATGATATGGTATGGTATGGTATAATATGACATGTTTTTTCTCCACGCACGCACGCGCACACAGATAGATAGATAGATAGATAGATAGATAGATAGACAGATAGACAGATAGACAGATAGACAGATAGACAGACAGACAGACAGACAGACAGACAGACAGACAGATAGATAGATAGATAGATAGATAGACACACACACATATATATACTTATGTACGTTATTGTGATTTATATTTGGTGACTTGGTCAGGGCGATCGCCCTGTCTCACTTTTATTGATATTTGCTGCATGTTCCCGAGTGTGGCAGTGGCAGGATTCCGTTTCATCGATGATGAGTTGTTCCCGGCCTTGTGGTTTGGAACTTGGATACGGCGATGGTCTACACTAAGCCGACTTAGCCGTTTTAGAGGTGGCATGTTTTCGAGCCTTGTAGCTGCAATGTGGATCCGCCGGGCAGGAAATCTTTGGGCAAGGAAGCCCTTGATGTACATACTTTTCACAGGCGGGCAGGACAGTTTTTCCGGCATAGTGAGACTCGAAGGACTTGAAAAAAATGTCAAGAAAGTATTGTTGTGCGAAAATGGCTTTGAATTTCATAGCTGTAATGACTTTAATGCACTTCCCAGACATGATATATAGTCTTTCGAAAGGCTATTAGCCAATCTTGTTGAGAAGTGAAAGTCAAGTGACCCGGAGGATAAACCGACTAGCGCTAAAGATCCACAGCACTGATGCAAATTATGGACTAACGCACGGTCTGTGGCTGTTTGTTGCCAAGGGTTCTGCGGCACCTCAAGCTTCACTTGCTGTGTGGCGACAATGATGACCTCACAGATTTGTCGGAAGAGCGGGGGTTCCTCGGCGTTGTCGCACCTTGGCTGGAAAGATTGTCCTGTTACATAGCGAGGGCTCATACCCATCTAGCCCCCCTAGCTTATGGAGTTAATAAGCTTTGTGGAGTCAAACTTGCCTTCTCCATTGCTTGAAGAGGATGCTAGATTAGGCCTGAAGTGCAACATTGGAAGTGACGTGCCAAAGAAGTCAGACATGTTTGGTTCCGCAAAATGGCTAGCTTCTACGCCAGAGTTTGGTGCTGCATCCCAACACCCACCGGAAGGGTAATTGACTTGGCACACACACACACAAACGTGTCATTGAGCCAGTGTCTGCCAGTGGTATTCAAGCAGGGCAACTTACGTAACCTGTTGTTTTCCAAACATTCAACAGTCTTCGGGCCTTTGCCAACTTTTGCTTAACAACCCAATCCAACATGGTGATAAAAGGGTGCAGACTGACGGCAAAATCTCCGATGACCTGGCGGTGAAAAGATTGCCAAAGTATTGGTGGGAAAACGGCTTTAAGGAGGGGCTGCCCTATTGGGGCCTCCAAGAGGACCCCACTCCTAACACTCGCCGAACTCAGGACTGGAACCACAGGCAAGATGGACTGGAGTGGACACTGCGCCCTGGGCTGGCACTGCTTTGGGAAGAACTTGTACGTTGTACTTGGTGGCAATAGTGATTTATAGGCACAAGTGCAAGAGTCAAAAGAAAGAATCTGTTTTGACCTTGGCTCTCTACATCTCCCTCTCGCTTTCTCGGCTCTTGGCAGATTGGTCGTGGAGAATTACTTCACCAAAGCCGACCTCTCCCGTGTCTTTCTGGGTCATCGGCACCCGGCGATGAAGATGCGTGGCCCGTCTTTGCTGTTCTTGCAATTTTGTCAATAGCTGTGGGTCTCCAGGTGTTGTGCTTGATTTGCTTGCTGGTTCTTGCTTGTTCTTGCTGGTTCTTCTATGTAATAGTTGCCCCACGTTTCCCTTGTTCTGGTTTCGGAAGTTTTAGATTCATCTATATGCTAGATTCTGATGGTTTCTGCCTTTGCGTGGCAAGAGTTGAGGCTGGGTTCATTGCAGTGCAGTGAGCAAGGCGCTGTCCGCTCTTCAACTTGTGATTCCTTATTTTCCGTGCAATGCTTGAGATTTCATTCCAATTCAAAGTTCATGCAACGTCCTCTCTCTTTGCGTCGGTGTGCGTCGTATTGCGTCGTCATGTCCAACTTGTCCAACTTGGGCCTCCCCATGTGTTCGCGTTCTACGCCTGTGAGGTGACCGTGCTGCGACTGGCCGTAAAATACCAGCTTCATCCTCTGCCAGTGGAGGATACCATTCAGTTGCTTGACATGTGACAAGTCCTCTGCACAGGTCTATACAGTACTATAAAGTATTGGCATTAGCGACAGTTTGTGCATGTTTGTGCCTTTAGTTGGCTTACGTTGGCTTGATTTAAGTCAAACATACTACATCTTGACATTTTGAGGCTGCAGCAGCAGTCTGTCCCGTTGGTGCGGAGCTACGGGGACAATTTTTTCATCATTCTTCCAATGCTCAGACTCACCACGTGGCTCGATCAGAGAATCCAGGAATATACAGGACACATCCGGACGCACGGAGTCCACAGGTTGTACAGTGATTAATCAATACGGGCAGTGGCACCTTTCTGAAGTCTCTATCATGGAAAGGACATCAGAGGATTATTTTTAATGATTAAACAACTGGGTCGGATTATGACAATGGGTTGCCACCAAGGCCTTCGCGCAATGCACTGGCACGCTTTCATGGCCAAGAAGAGGGGCAACCTGAACTGGCCAGGCAGGTTGAGCAAAGTGAAACTGCGAAATCTGCGAACAGCTTCCAATGGCCCAAGCTGTGAGAGAACTTCAGAGGGTGAAGCAGAAGTTGATCTGGGTGTAGCGTAGCCTAGTTTCAAAGCGTTCCAGGCAGACAACCAACCAAGAAGAAGCCTTAGATCCAGCGTCCTGCTTGCAATGATTGGGTTTCTGCCTTGCAACATTAGTGAGGTAAGATGGAACATGATTGAACGATTTGACAGATGGATGGATGGATAGCTAGCTAGCTAGCTAGCTAGCTAGACAGATACATACATGGATAGACGGGTCTCTGTATGCATGTCTAGCATAAAACTCCGGCACTCTTTCACACTGAAAATCGGTGCGCGTAAAGACTGCAGTGTATGGTGCCCAACATGGCGGCATTTTCAGGGGCTTGGACTTGGTTCACACAAGGACTGTAGGTTGAAACCGCATGCGCGAACTTGTAAGGACTCCGGAGCTGCTTTAGAGGTAGAGATTGAACAGGCACAGCATGGCACAGCATGGCACAGCATGGCACAGCATGGCAAAGCATGGGTAACTGTGGTGATGCTTTGATGCGCCACCTCCATGAGCTCAGCACACACAGATGGATCCTTCCAGTCATGGGCCCATGGGCCCATGGGCCCATGATATCAGCTGGCAGGGTCGCTTGGCACTTTTCATCGCTGGAGCTCCCAAGTTCGACACCTTGCGTTTTGGCAGCGACAAGGGGCATTAGAAGGCGCTTTTGGCACCCAAAGAGGGACGCATAGGGAAACAAAAGATTGCTGCAAGAACCTTCAAGATGTCGCTTGCTTTTTGCATCCTTTGCCAAAGTGTGCCTATGTGGTTCCGTCTATGTACGCACAGTCCACAGTCCTGCTTTCATGATTTTCCTTCGTCAACAGGCATTCAGATTCTAGATCAGGGCGCGCTATGCCTCTTACATAGGTATGCTCAGGTTTTATACGTGTGCAGTGCCTTGTATTTTTCCAAAACGCGGTGGCAGACATGCAGCCACAGCGGCATGCAGCTTCGAATTGTGGGAATCAGCCCGAGGATCAGCATCCAGACTGTGTGGATGGTTCACCATGGGGAGGATGTTGAACATACCACTCATCCCCTCCCAATGTATGGTGGCCGGAGGCTGGGATATGCTGGGATATGCTGGGATATGCTGGGATGGCCGTCGGGGGTGAGTTGCGGGCTATGTTTTATATTGTTTTTTTGATGTTATTTGATGTTATTTGCTTGATCAGGTCTTGGATAGTCTACATCAGGAGTCTGATCATTTGGTGGGCGATCTGGTTTCTTCATGACATTTGTCCGAAACACAGATTTTTGGGACATGAGAACGATAAGTTTCTGCCAGGTTCTGCCACAGGCGACGTCAATTTCGTAGCTCGAGGGCGTGCCTTCCTCTGACAGATTTGCGGGGCCACGGTAGGACCAGTCTCAGCGGTGGGAGCAGACACCGGATACATAGAAAAACAACCAAATCTCTCTCTCTCTCTATATCTCTCTCTTATCTATCTCTGTGTGTGTGTGTATGTATGCATATATATATATACGGATGGGACCCTAGGTTCTCCGATAGATGATAGGTGTTGATGATCAAATATGTGAAAAATGTGCGTTTCGCCATAGCGAAACTAGCATTTTGACATGAAGCATTGTTATGTGGAATTGGGCATCAAAACGGATGAAAAAAATCTCGTCCGTTTTGAGCGCTTACAAAGTTGTGATTTACTTGATATGGGTTAGGAGGGTATAGTTGTAAATCTCCCTATAAACACAGCACAGATACGTTGCGATGGTATGCAACATTTGTTGAAAGATGTCATTTTACCCTGTGTTTTTACAAGCGAAATAAAGGGAGCCTTATTTTACATCGTATTTGCAGTACATTTGAATGTTGCTTGAAAGTGAGGAACCCTGACAGTCCGCATGTTTTTTGTGTGTTTTTTTTTTTTTTATCTTTCGTGCATGTGTTTTCATTGTATTTTCCCAATCGAAACTCATGTGTGGTTAATTTTTTTATGGTATTTCCCATATGGATTCAAGATATTGTTTTTGTTTTGACATCTGTGCTCATGACGAGGTTTTTTCTTGGTAATTTATGATATGATCAATGATATTGTTAATGATCACTCACTGTAAGAAGGCATGTAGCTAGTTTTGTTCATAGTAATGGATCAGCATTGTTCACTATTATACACTGACCATGGAGCATGAACCACCGATTACTTGTCTCAATCCAAGCCACTCCTATAAATCATAATCAAGTAAGCGTTAACTTCTTCTGTTATCACCATTGAACATCATCAGCGTAACATGAACGTTAACATCCCACCCCACCCCACCCCAACCCCAACGAGCAGCGTAACATCATCAGCGTAACATGAACGTTAACATCCCACCCCACCCCAACCCCAACGAGCAGCGTAACATCATCAGCGTAACATGAACGTTCACATCCCACCCCACCCCAACCCCAACGAGCAGCGTAACATCTCAGCGTAACATGAACGTTAACATCCCACCCCACCCCACCCCAACCCAACGAGCAGCGTACATCATCCGCGTAACATGAACGTTAACATCCCACCCCACCCCACCCCAACCCCAACGAGCAGCGTAACATCACCACACATGACGTTCACATCCCACCCACCCCAAACCCCAACGAGCGTAACATCATCAGCGTAATGAACGTATCACATCCCACCCCACACACAAACCCCACCCCCACCCCCAACCCCAACGAGCAGCGTAACATCATCAGCGTAACATGAACGTTAACATCCCACCCCACCCCACCCCAACCAACGAGCAGCGTAACTCATCACGTACATGAACGTTAACATCCCCACCACCCCAGCCCCGCAGCGAGCAGCGTAACATCGCAGCGTAACATGAACGTTAACATCCCACCCCACCCCACCCAACCCCAACGAGCAGCGTAATCATCAGCGTAACATGAACGTTAACATCCCACCCCACCCCACCCCAACCCCAACGAGCAGCGTAACATCATCAGCGTAACATGAACGTTCACGAGCAGCGTAACATCATCAGCAGCGGAGCAACAACCGGTGTGCGGTCATCGGAGAACCTGGGTCCCCGAGGGTATATATATATATTTATATATATACACTTATACATTTTTTTTTCTCTCTCTCTCTCTTTTGCTTGTTGGGTTCTTTTCCAGCATATTTGAAGATTACCTTTTTTCGCTTCTCTTATTGCTAATTTTGATGGACGTGCTTCTACCAATGAATGCGGGGTCCTTCCACCAATCATATTCTGGAGTCCCTTCAGCCACAGAGTTTCTCCTTTCATGACTTGCATGCTGTCCAGCATTCAGCATTCAGGCTAGTCCGCGAAGGTTCAGCTAGTGTTCGAAGCCAAGCAGAGGATTCATTGTCTCCAAGGCGTGGGCAGGAAATCTGGAGCAGTTTCAGAGCAATCCGCATGCTGTACATGTTTGTTTGTACTATGTTGATCTATGTTGTATTATCATGTATTATCACCCTGGAATATTTGGGGGGGTTAGGCAAGAAATTTCTGAGACATATTTCACCTGACCACATGAATTATACCAACCCCTACGTGTTTTTTGGGCTTCCAAAAGAGGTGGGAGGGGTCCTCCGGATGGCAGATTCTAGCCTAGGTATGACAATTGGATATACATAGTGGGTTACACATAGATCAAAACGAATCTGCAAACTTTTGCCCCTGGTCATTGAAAACTTGCCGTGGCTAGATATCCAGAAGCCGAACCTTGCTGCCGCAGTGGAATTTCTCGAGGGGGGGGGCCATCTAGAGCTGTAAAATCCATTGTTTTTGCACCTTCCCCCCTTCAAAAAAATCACAACTTAAGCCCGGCAGATACCCAGAAACGGAATCCTACGGCTGCAATGGAATTTCTGCGGGGGGAGCTGGAAAATACAACGGCTTATGCGCCTTCCCGACCTCAAAAAAATCACAAGCAAAACTTGGGGAGTAAAAAACCTGGCCCGACCTGACCACATCCTGTACTTTGCTGCGGATGTTCGAAACGACCCAACAGTGCCCGCTGATGCATCAATGACAGTGCTGAAATTCCATTGCCTTATACAGCTAGACATTTTTAGCTGAAATATTTCTACGTATGGGGTGAGGGGTAACCCACCCTTTTTGAAATAGTTCACTTTTTTTTACCCCCCCCACCCCCAAGGGGGTGATTTTGTATTGTATTCTGTGGCATCCGACGGCTTAAGAGCAACTCTGGCGATGTGGGTGCACAACATTTGGCAGTTGGATGGATTGCTTTAGCGAGAGGAATTGACACACACACACACACTGACACAGGATTGCAGCATGTTGATGATCGTTGATGTATGTTGTAATTAGACCTAGATTCAAGATAGGTGCTAGAGGGCTTAGCGAGATTTCAAGAATATATGGTACGGTACGGTTGGGAAATGTGTTTTCCCTGGTACGTACGGTTGGTACGGTTGGTTGATACGGTTGGTACGGTTGGTTGGTACGGTTGGTACGGTGGTACCGTTTGTTGGTACGCTTGAACCGTACCAACCGTACCCAGAAACCGTACCAGTGAACCGTACCACCGTACCGTACCAGATTAAGGGGGGGGTCAAGGGGGGGGCGTTTTGGATGTACTTTAGTATTGGTACATCCAAAACGCCCCCCCTTGACCCCCCCCTTAATCTGGTACGGTACGGTGGTACGGTTCATTGGTACGGTTGGTACGGTCGGTACGGTTGGTAGGCGTACCAAGCGTACCTGACTAAGCGTACCATCCGTACCGACCGTACCGTACCAAGCGTACAAAGCGCACCAACCCTACCGTACCAAGCGTACCAAGCGCACCAAGCGTACCAAGCGTAGCGTACCCATCTTATAGCTGGATATCAAGCACCTATCTTGAATTTAGCTAAAGACTGTAGTGGATCCAGGACACCCAGTGCAGAGCTGGACTTCGAGGAGCAAGAGCCTGATCCAAACACTTTCGACGACGACGCCACCGAGGCTTTTGATGGAATTGCTGAAGAGATTCAGAAGGACAGGATCAACATGTATCAAAATAGCAAATAATCCCTTCCCCTAATATTAAACACCCCCCTAGAGACCATGGTTTAGTAGGGAGTTTCTACACACACAAATGGGATGGGGTTGCATGCAAATATGATCAAGCACAGATCGAAAGCGCTGGAAATTGACACTGATATTGCAAGTCAAGGCTGTGCCTCGTATTCTGACAACCATACCATAGAGGAAGATGAACCGTTTCAAGGTTTGCCATCTTTAGCCTTCTGTGCTGTGCCCTTAGCTTCTACCAAGGGAAGAAGCTTAGGGAAGTTCAGGGGAGAAGTGAAGTTTCAATTGCCCAAAAAGGACACCTCTATGGTGCGCTCTGGAAATGCCGCATGGCTGATGTGGAGGATCGTTGACGTGCTTGTCTCTTGACAAAATCAGGATGCAAAACAGAACAATCAACAGGTTTCTGTAACATAATTCTTTCTCCGCCCTTCAGATTGCAGGTTGAAGATGGGAATTCCATCCACTGGCACCTAGGAAGATTGGAAGTTACAGGCTTGCCCAGAGTCACATGTCACAGCCAAGGTCGACGAGATGGAGCCTATTTTGTCAGCCTTTCGGGCCAGACTCATGTGGTTCCCAACTCAGCACAACCATGCACAACCAATGTCTCGCTGGGCGTTTGTTGTTGTGCTGGGCCACCAAAGGCCCCCTAAACTGGACGGAATAGCCGGAAGAGATATTTACAATATCATGAACTAGCAATATGCTGCCACTGCTGCAGCGATATTCATGTTCGCAGCAGAAGCCAATGTATGACGCAAACCCTTACGACTGGACGTTTTTGGGAGCTCGACTGGTTGGCCCAAACCACAAGCCGAAAGCCACCTGGCCAGCTCACGCGTCCAGGTTTGGAGCTCACATTGCCAAACGCCGATCGAAATCGGAGAATGACGTGGATGCTTGGATTCAGAATTTCAACTTTGTCGATTTTTATTAGTCGAATGACTTTGATGTGATTGCAATATATTGCAATGGTGTCCTGCCAAGAAAATTAAGAAACTTTCCCGGCCCGTGAGTTGAGTTTGTTGCGCTTTGGAAATCTTTGGAACTTCAGCTTTGGGCTGAGGAGAAGAAGCTCCTTTGGACCCGTGTGGAGTTGGAGTGGGTGCAGCGGAAGGCTTGGACGATCGAATTGGGAACTGACAGACAGAGCCAATTTGTCTGTGCGTGAGCTTCTGCCGTTGCAGGTGCGGCCAATGATCAGAGTGCCATGGCCAAACATTCTGCCAAGATTTTGTTTGCGCAATTGGTTCGAGTGACCTGAAGTGACCTGTATGACTTAGTCAAGACATGTCAAGACCTATGCGCCAGCTTGGCATGGAGGTCGTCCGGCACATGATCCACGAAAAAGTCATTGAAGCCAATGTTGCCTGGCTGCGCAGAGTTCAAAAGGGCGGAGAGAAATGACAAGGTCCCTGGAGTTGCCGAACTGTTTCGATCCGTTTTGTACTGTATCCAGTGTGTTGCATTTCATGTCCAGGAGCTAGAAAGGCATGAAGTTGGTGGCTGTTGTTCGACTAGTCCTCGAATCCTCAGGTAACTCAATACCTTGAAGATGTGGAGGATCACTTGGAAACTTATTTGGAAGAGATCAGTCGCAGCATAGGAGCAGGGCTCTTAGATTTCTAAAATTATCAGCGGTCGATCCAGAGTATCTCTCAATTCCCCAGGGGTGCTTAGGAGTTTTTGAGTTGAGGTGTGCGACTCCCTGAGAGACCAAGTGCGAAGCTTCCGTGATCGGGAGCAGCAAGGGGTGACTTAACAAGAGTTGGAGGGTAGATTAGCAAAACTGGGAAAATCGGGGCTATTCTTAGCTTTCATTTAGAGAAAATCTCTGGTAGACTTGGCAGCCAACCCGTTGGAACTTTTGTGGTTTGCTTTGAACACAGTAGTAGGACTGGTGTAGGTAGAAGTGCGTTTGGTTCGGGCATCCAGGCCGGTCAATTCACTCAAGTCAGATACCTCGTTGACGGGATGTGTCGACAACATTGACAGCCCGACTTCATTCGGCCTGTGTGAAATGTATAGCATGTATAGCATCAAGTGGCATTTGGGATATCAAGAAGCATGGGGCCACTGAGCATGCCGAGCTACCTGGGCACCTATGCACTATCCCTGAGATATCTCCGATTGCTCCAAATGATTGCCGTGTTTGGCGGTCTCTGCCAAGTTCCACCCGTCTGCTCAAATCGTTTGACCACTCAGGTGCTCTATGTATTGGCGCTGGTCACCACCATGACCTCTCCAATGCCACCCGTCTCGGTTCAGCATGCAGAGCAGTTCTACTGTGCTATACAACTGCTTGTTCCAAGGGCGTCCACAGGTCACAAATCAGACATAATCAGACACCCTTTCTCATTCCGGATATTCTGGTTCTGCTTGATTGGGGCTGTGGGGTGACTTGCTGAGGCAACTTTTGGCCTCGATGTATGGCATGAACTTCATTGACAAAATGAACCGGCCAGTTGTACCAGGCGCAGCCTTGGAAATGGGTTGAGAATGTTGAGAGGATTCGACAGGATTTGAGAGGAGTGTGAGGAAGTTTCTAAAGAGCAGGATGCCGTGAAGCGCATTGACGGGCCATGATACGTTTCAACGCAAGACATTTTAGTCAGAGAAGACAAATTGAGATAATTGAGTGCCTCAGGACTGGGTCTAATGGATGAAAAGAGGGGCTATCCGCTCTTCTGGGGCAACTTGCCTGCAGAAGAGTTCACCCACCCCCCTGGGGTTCGCAAGTGGATAGATCTTCCAAGCATTTAATCATGTTGGATTTTCCCAATGGATTGGCTATGCAGTGCAGTGACTGGACATTGCATGACATTGCTTCATCCTGATTTGGCATGAGCTGGTGAGGTTTGGGAGTAGCCATTGTCTCTACGATTTATATCAGCTTCCGCTTTGTCTTGAAGTGGATGTAGTTGGACGCTGGTATCGGGCCCTGACTCAGCCCAGAAAGTCAGAACGGGGACACCTGCTCAACTGGTCTGGAGAATTATGGCTAGGGGCTCAACATGCTTGGTGCCTCGGAGTAGAAGGAAATGATGTTTGATCCTAATTAACTATATAATACCATGTATTTAATACATTATAATACTATATATTTGATCCAGCATTAGTATGATACTATCTGATGGTGATGCAAAAAGCTTGCTGAAGCTTGTGTTTAATCCATCTTTTGGCAATTGACAATTTTTCTTTCCACCGCGAATTTTTATTGAAAGAGTTCGTCTTCCCAAAGGGAGGCTGCGGTGGCTGACAGGAACTCGAGGAATTGCAAATACAATGCACAACTAAAACAACTAAAACAATTAAAACAACAAGATTTGCAGTTTGTAATCTGTTTTTTTTGTAGTCGTGTGGCAGAGAGTTGAATCTTGTTGATTCTTCCTGTCAGCCTGTCAGAAGCTTTTGTAGAAGGGGCAGGGGCGTGTCCTGGCCTTAAACGACACCCATTCGCTTTGTGTTATGGGAAAATGGTTGTTCAGTATTGTTCAGTGCCGCGCTCCAAACTACATGGATGGATCGGCAGATAGATGGATTGTTGGATGGACGGATGGAGATAGGTAGATCTATGATATATGTTTCGAGGAATCTCAAGCCCCTATTGTGTTCTGAACTTTCGGATTATGCCCGACACTACTTAGAATCTATGAGAAGACACGGCCGCACAAACAATGCAATGACAGGCTACTTTTGTGCTGCTCCGGCCCAGCGAGAAGTCAGCAGCACCTGGGCTGCACTGACTATATATTTATCACTACTATATACTATATATATACACACATATATATAATATATACATATATGTATTATATATATATATGTATTATATATATATGTATTATATATATATACTACCACATATATATACTACTACTACATACTACCACTATATATATAGGATGGGGAGAGAGAGAGAGAGAGAGAGAGAGGATTAAGAGTTTCCAGGTTCTGAAATTTGGATCGATTGGAACGTTGCTGACGCATCATGGTTGATAGTCAATGTATTGTCTCCTTGCCGCACCGATTTTATGAGGAACAGTTGAGCTTTACGGCCTTGACGAAGCTGGAGGTCGCGGGAGTGATTCAAGGGCACCAAATGGAACCATTAAACTGTTGGCACAAGATTGACTGCCTGGCAGTGGAGCCAGAAGCCCCGCGTCCTGGGGGAGGAGCACGATGCATCCTGTTATATAATGTTAATATATGTTAATAGGTAATTATAGATATATAGTCTGTAATGTTTGCACGATAGCCACGGGCCCTTACATTCCCAGCGATTTGGGTGCTCAGCATACTGTGCATTGCCACGCAGGTCCAGGTAGCTGCTTAGGCGGCTGCCTCGGCGCCCTTTGTGGAGGTTTGGCAGCCCTCAGTCAGGCGCGGGACGGCCTACAGGGAGCTGATTCCATCACTGGTTGCGAGAAAGGCCCGTTGAGCAGATTTCAAATCACCGGCAGCTGTCATGATGGACTCTGAGCTTCTGCCTCCGCAGGGCTCTTCAAGCGAGCTGCTCCAGGTGCCCTGATGCAAGCCAGATTGGATTGGGTTTGCTGGAAACCAAAGGAAAACACGGGGTGAAGGCTTAGAGTCTCACAGTTGACCATTGCTTTTGCAAGCTGTCGACGACAGCTTTTTTGCAAGCGGTCGACGACGGCTTTTGCAAGCGCACACACGCACCTACACGCAGAGATGGGTCATAAGTCGTTGGTTCAGACATGCAGGCAATATGTGCAATAGCTTTCCAGCCCCTATGTTTGCCCACAAACAGGCTACCTGTTGAATGCAGATGACCACAACTTTGCATGATTGTTCAATATTGTTCATGCCTCGTAGTTATTTCATGTTATTTCTATTTTGGGTCGGGTGCGGGGGTGGGGAAAGGGTTTGTGGTGAAGTGCCAAGCACTTTGCCAATGAGGCCGGGAGCATTGCTGCAGCATCCCCTAGCTGGGCAGTGAAGCATGCAGCTGGAGCAAACAACTCAGTTTTGCCTGAAAGAATTGCACCTGACCCTGACGACACGGTATATTATTAAATTCTATTAAATTGTATTAATTTCCATTAAATTCTATTAAATTATGATTACTTGTTCGGGCTTTCAAACCGCTGTATGTCTTTTCGTGGATGCCAGTGCGTGTTCTTGTGAGAGCTCCAGTTGCTGGTCAGGTTCTAGCCCGGGAAGGCACATTTGATGCAGAGGTGGTGAACTTTGAGTTTCGGCGACAGTGTCTTCAGGCATGGACTTTGAAGATTTTTTAGTCAGCCAACAATTGCGTGTGGCAAGATGTGGCAAGATCATAGATGAACAATAGATGAACATCTAGATGAACAGTGCGCCACAGGGAATCTTTCCACTGTTTGATTTTGGAGGCGCACCCACAGCAACTCAGCAGATTTCAACGCGAATCAAGTTTCGCGGGGGAGATGCTGCGGGTGAATACATCACTGACTCTGTGATATTGTGAGAGTTATCCAGTTAACGCAATATACATAATATCGTATATAAATATATGATTATATAATTATATGTATATGCGTGATTTATTATGTATAATATATTTCATTCCGATCGGCGAGGATGAAATGAGACACTTTCGTGCTTTACTTCACTGCTGTGCAACTGGTCATTTGAGCATTCGTTGATGGCGCTAAGTGATTTCAAGTACACATCATGTTCCCTTACCTGGCAGGATACAACATATTGTCAAGTAGTTAACATCACCACCGATACACACACACACATATATATATATATATATATTAAGGGGCTCCGCCCCCTGCCGCCGACCCCTGGGCTGAGCCTGCGATCAGCTTCTCCATGGCCCTGAAGGACACACACACGCATATATAAAGATATATATATATATATATATATCTATATATACATATATATATATATACGAATGGTTATACACTGCAAAGTTAGGTGTGCGTTGATTATTACTGTATACATGGGTGCAATTCTGCTAAAGGGCTGACATGACAAAGCCAGAGTAGAAACTTGACGCAAGGGAAGGAAGAAGGAAGGAACAGCAAAAACATGATTCAGTGTTGAGAATTGTTTTTTACCCGAAGACCTGGTGACTCATCACCCCATGAAATCCCATGAACGGGGAAGTAAGGGACTTTGAATGGACCATGACTTTCCACACCCAAAACCAAAGGAAATCAAACCACCAAAGCGTTTTCACTCGGTGCTCACCGTTATAAGCGAACGTGGTCCGTTGTTTCCTGCCGAGTATATTTGTTTTCACTGCTTATGTCTTCAACATCAAGCAAAAATTGAAACAGAGGATCCCAAAGCAGTCATTAACCATACGCTGCTGCAGCGGGCTTTTCGCGCTTCAAAACGGATCTCAGAGCCTCAGTGTTTAACTTTGCAGAACACAATGCACTATTCTCTCCAAATGCAAATCACCGCAGCATACTCTGACTAGTGACTAGTGGTTTGAGGCGGTTGCAAGACATAGCCAAAAGGGGTAGACGGGTTTTTGTTTTTCTCTTGATTGAGCCGGATATCAAGCTGTGAAGGGCTACAACAATTTACTGTACACAACCGGAGACATTCGCCATGATGTCAATGGTGCATGAATGGCGCCCATGCACATGGTGGGTAAATGCCCAGCTGGAAGCATGGATGCTTCTTGGCCGAGTGGATGTGAACATCTCTTTGTTTTCTTCTCGCCTGTTCTTCCGACTTTTGTCGCTTGAAAAGGAAATCTAATGAAGGCCAGCGAAAGGTCTTTGGATTTTGAACCTTGGTGCGTAAACGAGAATCGTTACTGCAACTTATTTCATATTATTTCCATTTTTTCCGATCAAGAAGGAACATGAAGGCCAAGCAAAGTTCACAGGTCTTCCTTACTTCATTTTGTACTGTCTCCAGTGAGGATAATCTTGATCAGTTTTCACAGCCAAGGTGTTTGTTCAGTGCGATGAAGCGATTCGGGTGATCCTTGACATTGCTTAATTTCCTCCTTATATGAATCCATGTGAGACTGGTTGGAAAGAATGGCATTGCTCAAAAGCTACGGTACCAAGTCATTGAATGGAACAAAAACTAAGTGGGAGCCTGGTTGCAAGAAAAGCAGGATTTCAAAGATCAGGACGCATGTGTGTGGACGTGCACATTTCTTAGAGATATCAAGACGTACTTGTTTGGGCAGGCGTAGCCCGCTGTATTGGAGGGGACGTGGGGCAAGTGCCAACGCGGCATGCTAGGATTGAGTTAATATACGTAGCACCAGTTTTCATGGTTCAGGTCAAGGTTGATGTTTCATATTATTGGCGGGTGGTCGGGTCAGCACTGCTCGAGGGTGTTAGGGTTATATTGCGTGTGTGTGTGTGTGCGTGGAGCATCTGAACAGATGTAAAACTTCGAAGCTTGCTGTTTGCAGGGGGCCAGGAACCCTGGATTGTCTGTCCTGGCCAACGAAGACTAGACAACATGGGGGTGCAAACGTACTTGCAAATTGTCGATTGTGCATAGCACCCGGCTAAGCTGAGAACCGGACACCAGCACGAAATTTCCACTTATTTTTGCAATGAGTACGGCTGTCGCAGTCTGAACTATTTCGGTATTGGGGACATCCTGATCATGTTTCTGGACGGGATAATAGTCTTCTATATTCTTCCGAGGCCCCGGTGCCAGTGCCTAACGTCGCTTTCCGAGCCTGCTAGAAAACTAGCCTTTGAAGCCTGCAGCTGCCAGCTTTGGCGGCCGCTTCCGAAACAGGAAAACCCCATGGCATGCCGGTCCCAACGGCGCTTCCGAGGCCCCGGTGCCAGTGCCTAACGTCACTTTCTGAACCGACTAGAAAACTAGCCTTTGAAGCCTGCAGCTGCCAGCTTTGGCGGCCGCTTCCGAAACAGGAAAACACCATGGCATGCCGGTCCCAACGGCGCTTCCGAGGCCCCGGTGCCAGTGCCTAACGTCACTTTCTGAACCGACTAGAAATTAGCTCCAAGCTAGCCCAGAGAGCCAAACGTCACTTTCTGAACCGACTAGAAGTGAAGGACGGATCTTCTTCTTCTTCGTTTTCTTGTT